GCCCGAAGGCTCAGCTCCCGACCCTCATCCCTCTTCCCCCGTGAGCCTTGCTTCCCAATCCCCCTTGGCCCTCCCAGGACTCCCAGCAGTGTTCCCAGCAGAACCATGCCCGGCTGAGTTTATTTTTCTTTCCTTTCTGGGCTAGGCTGTCTGCAGACACAGCTGATGAGCTATTTAGAGCTCACCAGAGACCTTGGGCTTTATAAATTTCTGAGATTATACCTCTTCAGAGGTCATTAATGCCAAGGCAAAGGAGTCAATAAATTTGATGTGTTTTCATCAAAGCAAGACCAAAAACAAAGAGAAAAGGAGGGTAGATGAAAACGCTCTCATAAGAGGTTTGAAAATTTACATGTAAAAGACTTCGGCTGGGGAGAGGGCTCGTTAAAACACAGATTATGACCCACATTGACTAATGCAGCTGACGATCGATGTAGGCAAATTCAGGGCCTCCAGCCCTTCACACCACACACACACACACACACACACACACACACACACACACACACACACACTCACACACACACACACACATATTCTTATACAAAATAACTTAAATACATACAGGTAAATTAATTGTTTAAGCCCCAGTATACAACTTCTTCACCAAGATACCTTTCACAGTTTTCAGATTTATTAATGAAAATCTTTATGAACCTAAAAGCAAATTCAACACATTCTTCCATTTTTGTACTATTTCCCTGTATGACTTTGGAAAATCTACATGGATTCTAGACTGAGAAGCTAGTTATTCAAGTCTGAAGAAAACTTAAGGTTGTGCTTAGGGGAGCAGCATCGCTAGCAGACAGTTCTACGGGTTCTGTCCAAGTTGATTTCACCTTTACTCCCTGATTTCATGTAATAGCTGGTGGGGCAGGAATCACAGGTGACGAAGAATCAGCAAACCACAGAGAGACTCAGACATCCCGGCTTTCCACTCTTCAGTCTGGAATTTCACAATTATTTCTAACCTAACGGTAACTCTCAAGAGCTGCCAGTACCAGCGTGGATCCCCTCTGCTAGGCTCTTTTTCCCTCCACAGGAACCCCACCGCTAGCTTCTCCAGTTCATTTGTTAGCTACCTCAACTAGTTAGTCCCTAAGGTACTGGACTAAACAATGGACAATGGACAGCAGTCTCTCTTCAGTCTTTCCCTCTGCACGCAGATTTTTTTCTCTCTCAGTGCTTCCCCCAGCTCTTAGTTTCATTTGCCTGTTTCATATACATCTTGAATATCACAAAGACTGAATTTGCTGTGGAAAGTGCTTCTGGCAAGCCCTGGGCAATGTGTGCACAATACCAGGCACACATTAGATCTTCAAAACCTGGATTGACTTAGGCACGGTTCCCAAAGCCAGCCCTCATTCCAGCAAAATAAAATAAGCACTGGGGGATTATTAAAGGGTGTGGTAGGCACTCCCTGTGCCAACTAGCACACACTCTCCCAGGGGGCTCCATAATACACCGGCCACTCTCCACTATTACACTGGAATAAGGAACACTGGCTGATGGCACAGGGCAGGACAGCACAGAATCCTGCATATGCCACGTAATCATCCTCATGCCAATCAAACACCAAATGGTGTTAGACCAGCCCTTTCAGACCATCAAGATTAGTGCCGTTCTGACACATTATCTGGCAGTGACCAGCTTTCATCTGGAAACCATTCTCTCACCTACCCCTCAAACTAAATTCTCAGGCCCGAGGTTTCTAAGTGGCAGGAGTATGGGGCCAACGTGGAGCATCAACTTAGAATCATTGGCTACACTGCTATAGAGATAAACTGGGCAAAACAGAAATAAGTGGTCATGATTAAGCCTGGAGAAATCCTAAATTCTAAAATATGTCTGTCTCAATAGCAAACAGTGTCTCCACCACAGTTCAGTTTTCTGAGGTGGGTAAATGTCACTTACTTTTTTATTTGTTATTGTGAAAGAAACTATGTGAACAAAAGACTATATTAAATATATGTTCGGTTTAAAGAAGAACAATAAGATGAACACTCGGGGACCCACCACTCAGGCTAAGAATTGACATTCCCAGTACCTAGAAGTTTCCATGTGTTTTTCCCTCATCATACCACTCTCCGTCCCCCACAATGAAGACCATTCTCCTGAATTCAGGATTAATTATTCTCTTCCATTTTTTATAGTTTTACTACCTATAAAAATATCCATAAATAACATATACGATTTAGTTTTATATTTTTTAACTTTAAATTTACATCAGACTGTATATTTTTTTTCTGTGACCCGCTTCTCTTGTTTGACATTATGTTTCCGAGATTCTACCATATTGATGTACCTGTCTTTCACCCATTTTTACTATGGGACAGTACTTAATCATAGGACTATACAATTTATGATTTTAACTCTTTCTTTAATCAAACAGACCTACTGACTGTACTAATACAGTCTGTCTGCAAATAAATTTGTCACGTTACGTGTTAGTGGCAAAACCATGCTGGTTTTCATATGACAGACCAGATGGTAAAATAACTACAGATGTTCCACTCGATTATTCTTAAAGAGTGGGCATGATTTCATTGAGAGATGAAGCTCTGAAGCCTTGCTCAGGAAGCAAAAGGTGGCTTTTTTGCTAGATGAACTTGGATAGATAAACCCCTAAGATAAAACTCTTACACGGTTCCAGTTCCATGGCTAATAAGGGATGGGAAAGGAGAGGAAAAGGCTGTTTTGACATTGCAATCTTCACCTTCATGGGCACATCAGAGCACCTTTGATCATGGTGAATAGCACCCAAGTCCAAGAAAAACCTACCCTTCAAACAGCGAAAGCTAAATATTTAGTCTGGGAGGCAGCAGACAGAAGCCCATCATTCTCTCTGTCCCTGGAAACCAAGGATAGCAGAGGACGATCCTCGATTCCTGAAGGTTTGAGTCATTGCCCTCTTAACTACGGTCTTTGATGTGAATGCATCAGTAATGCCACACCTCCCGGAGCAGGGAGGAGGGCAAAAAAAACCCTGCCACTTTCACTGAGCACTCCCAGTGTGCAAAGGCCCTCAGATGGACATACCTCATCTAATTCATACAATGACCTTGTGAGGCAGGTGATATTCCCATTTCACACTTGAAAAACTGAGGCACCAAGAGGTTTAGTGACTTGTCCAGCACCACACAGCAAGTAAATCACAGGCCAGGATTCAATCTACATCCGATTCTGAAGCCCACACTCTTACCCAGTCGACAACCCTGCTACCGCCTGCATGTGCACAATGACCTTGTTAAAGGCAGCAGCAATGAGAAACAGGAGTTCTTAGGGACACAGGAGATACTGCCTTCGGGCGATACTTTCAAAACATTTGCTGCTGAAGGGCAGAAGGTTCTGTGTGAAGACAGAATAAATACTTCGATGGTTGAGGCCTGTGAAAACTCAGAGCCCACATGTGAAAAATGCTGCAGTAGCTAGGTAGACAGAGGAGGACTCCCACTTAAAATAGCTGCAAGGCACCGTGCCCACCAATAATTAACTAGCATTGAATGTCTACTTCATGTTATAGCAAAAATGCATCTGATTTTCTACTGAAGTCTGGCTGCTGTTTTAACAGCCAACAATCCCCAACACAAAGAACAAAGAAGGGCTTTTGGGATACAGTGTAAGAATTTCAAGGTATATCAACTAGAGAAGATCCGAGAGCAATAAATAGGTCAAAAACTTAAGTCCAAACTTGTTAAGAGCCGGACTCTGTCTTCCAGCCCCCAAATAAGTGATATCAGTTGTGTTTGACACAAACTTTCCAAGTCAGCTAAAAAGCCAAGATGGTGGTTACTAGCGCCAAAGCAAAGAAGGCATCATTCTTGGAGAGTGAAACGCTGAGTGTTCCTCTCCACCAGCTACTCGCCACTGAAGAGTTCTGTTTTCTCTAGTTCTGGGTGCCTATCATTTCTTTGTGGATACAGATTTGCCAATTATATTGTTGATCCTTACCCATGAGACTTGACCATCTCAACTTGTAAGTCATCTAGTGAGTCACAAAAACAGGCAACTGATCTTTAAAGTGTGACGTAACACCTTTGCAGAAGCTTCAAGAAAAGAGGACAGGGAAATGGCACCTCTGCTTCTATTGATGCTCTAGAGAAGATACAAACACTCAACTCTCTCTTGCTCCTGACACCTGCCAGGCACTGAAACCTCCTCACAAACCCTCAAACCAAATCCAGAGAGGCTGCCCTCAGAAGGATCTTTCCAGATGCTGTGGGTACTGCCTGAAATCATACTCTGTTTCTCAAAGCATTATTTCCCACTCTCTGGGATTTGTTTGGGAAGATTTTTAGCAGTTACTCACCTACTCTCTGCAAATAATAAGGATTACAAAATACATTCATATGATTCTTTTCCTTAAAATGCCTAGGGATTTTGTACATTTTAATAAACGATAAAAACAGGTTCCCAAACTCCATCTCATTTCTCTAATACTCTTAAAACTATTCTCCTCCCTGGGAATTCAGTTGCTGTGAAAATGAGTTTGCACCATTAACACAGGTATACAATGGGAATGTCAGCAAAAAAATCAAGTCCTTCGTGATATGTGTAACAAGTATACCATAACTCAGACTCTAAGTACAAGAGGTCTTAACCAACACTCCAAGGGGAATCAGAGATCACCCCCCAAAATAGAAACATACAGACAGAAAATTTCACATACAAAGACCCACTGCTCTAAGCATTTCTATGTGTATCCTGAAAAGATGACTATGGCCACTGTACCTAATGTATAGAAAAGCAGCCACATCTGTTCAACAGTTCCTCTTATCCAAACAACCAATCGAGCCAGTCCCCCACCTTTGACAAGCAATCTCTGACCCTTCTGAGAATCCTGAGTTTTTGTACTCCTCTCTGGGCCACCTTAACAGTCAGTTATAAGCTCTCTGGAAATTTCCCCCAGTTTCTAACATAAACTATTCTCCTTCACTTCTCAATGTGATTTCCATAGCTCTAAGCATCTTTCTGGCTCCTCAACCACAAGAGGGTCTTACCGGGATCTCCCACCAAAGCAGTTGGTGCTAGGGGACTGGTGTCGGTTCTCTGGAGCACTGGCTATCCCACTGGATTCTCTCAAAGGTGGCTGTGATGCTAGAAAAAGGATCCATTATGAAAAAAAAAAGAAAGACAAACATTGAGAAGCTCAATCCTTGTTTGAGATTTGCCTATGGGAACAAAGCTCACCCATGTATTAGTTATCCATCACTATGGGATAAAGGGAGTCTAGCAAATGCAGGTGCCAACATGAGAAGGAACAGGGACAGCAGGCTGAGATCTGACCATGGAACAGAGGGGCCCAAACCCAGAAAACAGGTCTTCTCTAAGACATTCAAAAGCATCTACGGCACTCACAAGCACGTGGACTTACACCTTAAATGAACTTCGGCCACGCCACGTGAGACGGTACCATAGTTACATCACATTTAACGAGAAAAATTATGGAGAAACCCAACACATTTCAGACCTCAGACTTCATGAAATAATTTCCTGCTAGATCCAAAGGTGACTAATTTCAGACCAGATCGAAAGAAACGAACTGCCCACATTCAGGGCAGAGTGGGAGACACTCTTCAAATTCCCTGCTTCTGTCTATATTTTGCTAATGCAAATCTCTAAGACATAGAGTCAGTCCCCTTTCCCCATCAATACCATTTCATAAAAGGCACCCTCAACCTTCCCAGTAAAGTAATTGTATTGGGAAGAAGAAAAATGGGCCCAAATAACACTTAATAAAGTCCACGTAGGATGTTTTTCTCTGCTCTCAAACCAAACAATAACAAAGACTTGACATTTATTTTGGTCCTATATGAGAAAGCTATCCTTAAAAAAACCATGTCATGATTTTGATCATGCTAAGAAGAATCAGGGCCAGGGCTGGCTGAGCCATACTCAGACCTAGTTACCTGGTAGAGAACCAAGCTCTCGGCACCTCCTCCAATCCCCCACCCCACCCCTGGGGAGCAAGGCAGCACTCACCATCTGTCGCGGCACTGCCATTAGGCACGCTTCCCAGATCAACAGTCGGCCCATCCAGGAAAATTGTCAGCTCACCGCCTGAGACAACACCGCCTTTGTTCTCTGTCTGCAGGTTCAGGGTCAGCTGCGTGTTCTCCACTGTTGAACACAAAAGGCAACAAGGATGGAAGAAAGCAAATGTACCCAAGATTCTCTAAGTTACAAGCTCCCACTTCACTTACTCTGGCTTCCCTGGCAACATTTTTCTGCATCTTCAAACCTTTTTTGTGGCATGAAAAAAAGAATGGGAAGGAATATGTCTATCATCACTGCTGTAGGAGGCTGGTGGGAAAGGCTATATTCTTTCTTTTTTAAACATTTTAGATTAGGTTAGCTACATAGTTTCTACATTACTTATTTGTTTGCTTATACTTGCAGGACCATAGGTAAGAGTAGACATACAGAAAGAGTTATAAGCAGCATTCCCCTACCCATAAAAAGAACAGTGGCAAAAAGAAGAGAAACAGGTCAGGAGACCCTAAGGAAATGTCATCAGGAGTCATCTCTAGATGAAGGATTGCAGGGGCTTATTTATGTTAAAGGTTTTTTTAACTTTCATTCCTGAAGATGTTTCACTTTGAAATAAGAAAAAAAAATTAAACAATAAAAGTTCAATACATGCAAATCAGCCCCATAGTCACAGGCCCTGGATTGGTCCTGTAAGGAGAGACCAATCAACACCTGGCTCTATGAGGTGAGAAGGCAGCTCAGAGTCACTCAACCCCCAGAACACTAGGTAAAGTTGACCCTGTGGGCAAACAAGAAGAGCTGGGAAACCACAGCAGAAAAACAACAAACTGGCACAAAGCAGAAGCCCAAAATCTAGGCGAGCTGGAAACTGCCACAAACACACCCCCGACCCCCACCACAAAGCTTGGCCACACTAAACAGCTTCCATCCAGTACTGCTCACCAGGACTTACAGCCTCCAGTTCAGGGCCATTCAATAATTACCAAGAGAGAGCAGAGTTTATGAGGATTTCCAAAGGGTGTGCAGTCCTTCCATGCCTCCCCATATCTTACAAAGCCAGACCAGGAAAGTGACACGTACTCCAAGCTCCCTCCCCAACCACCACCCACTAATTTAATTTCTTAGTTACTAATGTATTATTATAAGCTACTCACTGGTTTTTTTTTTTAGAATAAGACAGAGTATGTATAAATAAGCATCTCCATGAGTACTTCCTAGAAACAACCTCCCTCCACTAAAAAGCCTGCCCCAAATCTCTCTAAGAAACAGGCATGCCCCTTTAAGAACTTAGCAAATAAAAGTCTGGATCAATTTGAGGCTCTCATATAATAAAGCAGAAACCAGTTACCCTTCAGGTTTTCAAGTTCTCCTAAGCATCTCTACTTTCCCTTAACCTCTCTTCCCTGTAATGGAATTCTCCAAATCCTTTCGAGTCCATTGCTATTTTCAGTCAGTTTCACCGAGGGGCTTGGTAAATTTCAAATAGTTATATAAAATAACACTATATTTTATTTCTATAAGTTCCTTCAAAAGCCTAGGAGTGGGGGGAAAAAACAGAGGCCTTACGACCACCAGGACCCTTGCTAGCCATGCCTAGAGCCACCTAGGAAGTGAAGCCGCCAGCTCCAGTTTAGCCTTCAGATGACTGTGACCCCACCAACATATCAACTGCAACTTCATGAGAGATCCTAGGCCTGACTGCCCAGCTAAGCTACTTGGGAGCTAATGCTTGTCCGCTGAAACCATGAGATAATGTTTATTACTGTTTAAAGAAAGAAAAGTCAAGGAGTGTCTCCCTACTGTATTATGGCAAGATCCAGTGCCTAAGTCCCTAGCTAGCAGTACGGCACAGAGGTTGAGGGCAGGTACCAGCCAGGCAGACTGGGTTCAAATCTCAGTTCAACTGCCTAGTAGCTATGCAGTATTACACAAATTACTTAACATGACCATTTGCCACTCTGTAAAACAGGGAGTAGTAAGAGTACATTTTGCAGAGGTCATTAGTAAAGAATTAAACAGCACCCAGCAAACTCCTAATAAGCTGTCATTTTTATTATCTCCCTGTTGACTTTCCTGCTTCTAGGCTGAAGAGTCCCAATTTCTCCTGGTCTAACTTGTTCACTGTAGAGTCACTCTTCTTTTGATCTTTCCAAGCCTTTTTCAGGTTGTGGCAACAAACTCCACATAATCTTCTGAGGAAAGCTATCGTCACAAAACCATCACAAGAATGAACCATTTATATACTTACAGGTTCACAAGTTACCTGGCAACTCTTTGAGACACAATGAACCTTCAAAAAGAATCAGTGAAGGAAGAGGACTTTCTTTAAACTTTTGAGACCACAACCCTCCACTGTTCTAGTTACTGAAAAAGAGAGAATCAGAGGAACCTCTGCCATCATTATCCAAACCAGGTGATCAAATTGAGTGTCACTAAAGCAAGACAACCTGACACCCACATGCTTCCTGTTGTGCTGCACTATGAAGAATACATCACTTTTAAAGTCTTGCCAAATGCCTTTAGCCTGAATCCACTCAAGCTTCTAAACCTCCTTCCCAGTTTACATGAAATTAAGGGAAAGAGAAACAAATTTCAATGATACCATGAGGAAGCAATTAGAAAAATAAAGCATATGGGACATCTATACAGTAACTGTCCCAGACTCTTCCAAGAGTCAGTGCTATTAAATACATTTCTTTTTTTAGAAATGGGTGGCAGAGAGGAGATTCTTCCAGATTTAAAGAAATATAACCCAAAAGCTATGCATGAATTTTAACTAAACATTGGTTTGAAAAAAAATATTCTTGGGACAATTGGAGAAATCTGCATTCGGACTGGATATTAAATAATATCTCAAATTTAATTTTCTTAGGTTCAATGATGGTACCATGGTTTTATATATAAATGTTCTCATTCTTGGGAGGCGCAAAAGATATCTGCACTTAGTCTCATACGGTTTTTATAGAACAGGCTGAGGTTTTAAGGATTAAAGTGTCATGATATCTGCAATTTACCTTCAAATGGTTCAGGAAAAAAATGCACACAGTCACAAGCTCACATGTTTAAGTTAAATGCAGCGAAATGTTAACAAGGGTTGGATCTAAGTGGAGGGCATTTGGGTGTTCATTGTATTACTCTTTCCATTCTTTTGTATGTTTGAAAATTTCATAATAAAAAGTTGGGAAAAGGGTTGTTTTTTTTATTGGCAAGGCTATTAAAAAATTAAACCTCTGAGAACAGAACACCCATTATTCTCTTCAAAAAAAAAAAAAATAGCTGAGCTAGGGGAGCCCTACAATGCATAATGGGAGTAAAGAAGCCATTAGCTAATTGAGTGACAGACTTGAGCTTACAGGGGAGGCTGAAAGGAGTAAGTGTGGCTGGAAAACATATGCTGAAATCTTAGCTATAAATAGCAGCATTAGCCACCTCCCCTCTGGGGCCCTCAGGTTTCACTACAGCCACACTGCTGATGACTCTACAAAGGGCCTTTCTCTTCAAGTATGTCTTCCTATTGCCTTTTGAGGCACTGCTCAAAAATCAAGAAACTAGTGGGAAAAAATGGGTATAGTAGGTTGACTTCCATAACTAGAATTATATTTATCACAAGAAGCTCACCAGCTAATCTCAACCTCGTCGGGCTCTGCTCTTGTCTGTAGTCCTGCAGTTCACATATGTGTACTGAGCATCGATTCTAGTTACAGAGATTCCACAGGAACAAAACAGACAAAAATCTGTGCTCCTGGGTGTTTCTATTCTAGGTGAAAGGAACAAACAATAAGCAATGCTTTTTTAAGTAAATTGCATAATTGGTTAGAAGGTGGCAAATGCAGTAAAAAAAAAAAAAATGAAACAAGGCAAAGGGATGGAAAGTGCTAGAGGTGGGAGGAGGGTTTGGGGTGGTGAGAAAGTCTCCTCGGGAAGATGACAACTCAGCAAAGATTTAAAGAAAGGTGAGGCAGGGGAGCCATGTAGGTATCTGGAAGAAGAATAGTCTAGGCAGAGAGAGAAGGAAGCACAGGGGCCCCAGGTGGGAGCCAGCCTAGCAGGTCTGAAGAATGGCCGGGAGGCCACTGTGGCTGGAGAGGATGAGAGAAGAGAGGAGCAGATGAGGGAAGTCAGTAACCAGAGCCCACAAGGAAGGCCTTTGGGCCCTAGCAAGGTCTCTGGCATGTATTCTGTGTGAGATCGGAGGCCATTAAAAGGTTTAGAGCAAGGAAGGGACATGACTCAAGTTGTAACACAATCACTCCAGCTACAGGGGGAACAAGGGCTGAAGCAGACAAGACCAGTTAGGAGGACACTGCAACATTCCAGGCAGGCACAGATGGTGGCTAGCACCAAGGCAATGGCAGTGTCTTCCAGGAACACGGTGCTTATCCTCCATAACATGTATTAGAAAAGAGCCATGACTCGCCTCCCCCGCACACCTTCCCGAGCACATCAGCCAGGCTCCACAAGCCCACCAGTCTCTTGGAATCAAAGCTTGAGGCAAATCACAGGCAGAAACTGAAACAAGCGCCAACTTAGAGCATGGCTGGAGGAAGTCGGATTCAATTACAACCAAGTGGAACATATATAATGAAAATATTCCTCTGGCAAGAGACTTTAGTTCCACCAAGAAAGCCAAAGTCCTGAGCTCATGCTAACTTCAGCAATCAGCTAACACACTTCTTCGGTTATGTGCCCTTCTGTTCTAAGTACCCACTGGTTACCAATACTTTGTAGTGCTGCTTTATGGAGGTCAGCTGACAGCAGTAGGCTGGGTATTAGAATCTAGGGGAAATGAATTTCGAAATTCTCAAGAACCGTGCCAGGAGATCCCTCCAAAGGGTGGCATACCGAGAGAGACAAGCAGACATTAGGTGCCTCCTGGTAGAAGCATACATCACCCCATCAAAAAGGAAAAAAAAAAGAACCCAAATCAGATGAAACCTCCAAATCTACCAATGAGTTTATAGGGAACAGAGAGGGACAGAGGAAAATGTTAAACTACAATTCAGCAAAACCCACTATGTGGGAAACTATAGGACAAACTGCCCAGTTTCTCCAACAATGAATTTCAAAGGATAAAAAGAGGAAAGAGAACCCATCAGTTAAAAGAGCCTTCAGAGACACATCTATCTTGT